TAGGTGCTGGCTGACTGGGGCAGTGGGTGTGGACTGCTGTCTCAGCGCTGGATGTGGCTCTCCCCTGCCTGCCTTGTGCTAGGCATCCCGTATTGACAGGGGCACATCCAGAGTCTACAGGAGGATGGGGGCACCAGGGGGATGTGGATGCCCGAGGAGAACAGGCACCACCCTGTCTGCATTAGCAGGATGGGGACAGAGGTTCAGAGTGTCTCATCCATGATGGAGGTGAGCTGTCTGGAACATTTCCTTACCCTCAGTGTGAAGGAAGTGTGTGGGAACAGCACCAAGGCTTTCCCTTGAAACCATCCAACCAGCCAGGCACAGCCCCAGGCATTCACCCTGCAAAACTCCAGGAAAACCAGCCACGAGATCCACTTTCTCCCTCCCCACCGTGAGATGCGCTTCACTCCCTCCCATGCTAACAGCCTGTCACTGTGGGGCTGGGGGCTGCCTGTCTGACCCCTGGTACCTTTATGGCAATGAAATATATTTACACACATCTTAGACCTGCTGACATCATTCCCTCTGGAGAGCTTCGGGTTTTTATAGTAACCACGGTAATGATTTTCAGATTATAGACTAATAAAATATTTTAATTTGTTAGGAACATTAGGGTGGGCACTGTAAGATTCTTATGACATTTAAATAGTGCTTAAAAAAAAATAAAAGGGAGGGGGTGCAGGGGTTCTGAGTGGATTTCTTTTCCAAATAGGAGCACTGAAATAGAAAGTCAAAATCCCACACGCTGGTACCGAGATCAGCTCTGACACCTCCCCTTCGTGCCTGTTTCACTTGAATACCTGCCAAGTTAAATAAGCAAACATGGGATTTCGGCATCCTAGTTGCAAACCTGTTTTTGCCAAGTGAGCCCTCCTCCTTAGTCACTCTGGTTGCTTATGCTGCGTGGTGGTGACCTGATCTAAACGTGTACCAATGTGCCATTGCCCTCCGTGGGCTGGGTCACCACTAACAGGTGCTGCAATGGGTAACACAGTGGTTTTACACCTCTGCCTATACTCACCTATTTCTTTCCCCCTTTCATTCATTGCACATTCTGACTAACTAACTGGACAAGACTATAAAGTAAGTCATGAGTTTAGAGCATCCCATCATTTCCATGGCATGCGACACACACCATGTGCCGCAAGGCAAACTGCTGCACCAGCCCCTTTCCTCTGGCCAGTAGAAATTGCCTGTTTTGGAGTGAATAAAACTGCACTGAGTAAAGCAGGGGCATTTTGGAGGAGGAAAGTTGCCCTTGCAGCTCTATGGGTTGCTATGGTTGATAGCTCGTGCTTCGTTTCCTAATCGATAAAATGGGGCAATGCAAGTCACTGACTTCTCAAAGAGGTTATGCAGGTAAGGGCTTGGACACTAAAGTCATGAATGGCATGGAAAAACCTGCCAAGAAAGGGAAAAACAGTCAAATATTTAGCTCAGAGTTAGTTATACCTAGCAAAAGAGACAGAGAGTTACACAGTGAATATTATGGAGAAGAATAGCAAAGAAGTTCCTTTGTTCTCTGAGTGATTTTGCCTTGTACCTCAACCGGATCATAGAAGATTAACGGCAGGTGGTTATGTAAAGTCTGTACTACAAGGCAGAGGCAAGTGTGAGCTTGGGCCTCCCCATTATCATTATCTGACCTTGCATGTTCCCTTTTGCAATCTCAGCATTTTTTGTGGATAGGATTTCTGGGTGGTTATTTTAAGAAAACTGTGTTAAATTTCTTGCTTCTGTGCCAGGTACCTGCTGTTTAACAAGCGGGTCATGACTAAGCATAGACTGGAAATTAGAAGCATCTACAAGTTAAAGCAATGAGATTCTGGGACTGTCCTCCCTTAGGAGAACATTTAATAGTAGTACTTGATTATGAAAAGAATAAATCTGATGTGATTGATGCAACAGGGGATAGGATTTGATGATCCAGGAATTCCCTTCCAGCCCTCTCTCCTCTTAACAAATTTATTTTTTAAGGGTGCAGGGGATGCGGTGCTGTACTGATGGCAAACAACAGTGAAGCATGTAGATACCTGTTGATGGTTAGTGGGACTCCATCCCCAGATTTAACCACTTCCCATCACCAAGAAGGTGGAGCAGGTCTCTCCCCTGGTTCTGACAATCCTAAGTGTACCAAGCAGAGGTGGGCACAAGGATCCTGCCTGCTTCTCTTCCTTTGCACTTTCCAGCTACTGAGGACTTGCAAAATTCACTCTCCTTGAACCAGCATCACAAATGTCTCGGCTCACAGGTTCCCTATGTATTTCTAAGGTACTTACCTGTCTCCCATCACCATAATGACTGTTTCCTTGCAATCTTTTTTTCATGTGAATCTCCTTGGTGAGGATGAGCAGAGATCACCTTGTAATAATGGGAAGTTGAAGCACGGAAGGACTAACTGAATTTCCTATGGTGACAGAGTGACAGAGGACATTGATATGATGGAAGGAACCTGCAGCCCAGTCCAAGGCTGGGATCTCATTGCTGGACTCTTCTTCTTTTCCATACACCTAACCAAGCTCTCCCTTTCAGAACAGGAATAGCAAAGCAGAAAGTGTTTTACAGCTCAGACATTCACTGGTCTGGGATTCCCATCCTCTGCCAAGCCAAGGGGGCTGAGCTTAAGGTTTCTGAGGGCACAGTGCAAGGTTGTTACAGAAGGGATGCGCAGGGAAAGTGGTTATGTTCCTTTTTCCCCCCTGAATAGTTTTAATTCTTTAATTCCTACTTGCTAATAAGATAAAACACTGTGATTTCTGCAGGATCAAGTCGTGCAGGACAAGCTAAGGGAGTTTATTAATTAGCATGCTTTCTGGGCTGGGGAAAAAAATAATAAGAAGAAGCAACACAGTTGTAGATGATAGCTATAAATATGACCCATGTATTACCTGCCATGATGTTTTAGCCAAGTGGAGGCTGTCACATTAGCGCTGGGCATGGCATTCTGGTAGTGAATAAAAATCAGAAATGAGAGGACAAGGCTTTCTCTCTCCAAAATGTGGCTATTCACAGACATGTGCTACATTGCTCCAGGGCCTGATCCTGCAAATAATACCACTTCTGTGCTATACTGTGTGAGTGGTCCCCTGGCTTCCCCAGGGATTGCTTGGACCAGTGATTGCTAAGCCCAATGGTAAGTGGTTGCAGGATCAGATTCATAGTGTGCCAAGTATTTTGGATGAAAAGTGCTATAAAGAAGTCACATATTATTATGTCACATTGCAAAGGTCAACCCCAGTATTTGTTCTGTCGTAAGGACATGATTGAAAGGCAAAAAAATAGTGTCAGGGCGCAGGGGAAAATAATTTTTTAAAAACTGCCTTCAGGGCTGAGGATACAAAATTACATCAGTGCTTAGAACTAAATCCTCAATCACACCCCACAATTCAATTTGGGCTCAGAAAAGCATAAGTGTAATAAAATCACCTTTTGGTAGCATGTCTTCTTATCACAGAATCACAGAATGTTAGGGATTGGAAGGGACCTCGAAAGATCATCTAGTCCATTCCCCCTGCAGAGCAGGAACACCTAAACGACATATCCCCTGCAAAAATCAGCGATATCTAAACTCACACTCCCATATGATTCTGGCAATGGTCAGGAACTGCCGGAGCCCTGCTCCATCATGGATCCCAGAAGGGCTTTGCAAGATCCACTCAGCTGCTTAACACCAGGTAGGCATTCACTTAATGACACTGCTGGGGTGGGAGGAGTAGTGGTGATGGTGGGAGGAGGCTGGGCAGTGGGACAGCTAGTCTTTCATCACCTGGCCAGAAGCATACACCTCACTTCATAATGGAACAGGGAGGTTTGGGTAATTGGACCCTCGTAATTTGTCCAATTCATGGAAACTTTGCAAATATTTATGCCCTTTTCTCTGGGCTTGCTGGCACAGGGAGAAGCTATTGAGAAGTGTAGAAGTAACAACTTTCCTGCCTTAACTTATGAGGGGTCATAACTGCTTTGCACAGACAGTGTCTTTGGGTGGATTAGCTCAATCCACTTCCAAAACAGACTCAAGCAAAGGCTCCCCAGCTTTCTGGATCAAGCACTTCCTTGTGTGCCAGCAGTAAAACCACAGAGGACAATCAAGTTCAATGTTTGTCCCTCTCTCAGGCTTCTGCAGCTAACCTCCAGTAGCCTTGCAGCTTATGGGTGGTGGCTTCTGGGATGCTGTGACAGCTGAGGACCCTCCAGGCTGAGCATCCTTACACAGAGACTCTAGCATGCAGAGAGCACAACAGGATGATGGCTCAGTTCTGTAGGAGGGAGGACAGGGTGAACAGAGGGGTGACCAGCCCTCAGCTGGCTCACACGGCTCCCACCAGCCACCACTTTGGCAAACCCAAACTCCTTTGCACTGCAAGAGCATCAATCCCGCACTGATCTCTCACTGCCACTCCGCTGGGCAAGGGATGGGAAGGGCAGTGATGGCTGACATCCACCCAGTCACAGCTGCAAGCACCCAACTGGTCAGACACCAAGGCTGTGTCTAGACTAGCAGACAAAAGGCATCAGTGCTGGCGTGTGATGGTCCAGCTGTTCAAATGGTCTGGTTTTAGCCCACACTAATTTGCCAGCATTCAAACAACTGTTCGGAGAACAACACAAGTCAAGGACAGTTCCTGGTGAGCAGTGTAAATGCCACCCTGCATGGTGGCACAGAGCCATTTAGCTGCACGGAGAAAAACCATGCTGCAGTCACTGCCATCAGAATCAGAGGATGGCTCACACTCTCCACTAGTGCAGACACAGCCTGAACATCCATGGAGGAAGATTGCACTGAGGACTTTTGCATTCATCCCATATTATCTCAAGCCCCAGAGAGTTGCTATGGTAGAAACATGTGCAGTTTCTGTCACACACAAGAGCCCCTTCGCTGCCAAATGCACTAGACCCATCCTAGTCCCAAAGCTGCTCAACCCCACATGTCATTTCATGCTCAAGCAGCACCAGTCCCCAGCTTCCAGCTGCCCCAGGGGTCGAGATCCACTCACTGTTGCAGCTGCCGGCGGTGCCAGTCTCTGTCGCTGCCACGCTGCGCTGAACTGGCCCTTCGGACGCGGCCCTTCCTGACAGTGAATGGGTGAAAACAAGGGAAGGAGACAAACAAAAGAGAAGGGAAGGGTGAGAGAGGGAGGGAGGGATGGGGGGGATGAAGCAAGGGGACAAGAAGGGAAAGGGTATGTCTTTAACTGAACCGTACGTCTTTCACTGGCTGCAACACCCCAACTGCACAACCCTTGCTGTGAGGGCATGGGGCAGGTGAGACCCCCAGGTCCTGGTCACCATCACCTTGCACCCCACACCATCACTTGCAGCAGTGTAGAGGGAGGGCAAGGGGTGAGCACTGATGCTGGGCAAGAGTCAAGGGAACATCCAGCCTCTTGAAACTTCTTGGACTGTGAAGCCACATCCCTTGGGGGACGCAGCGTCCCTCTCCAGACAGGAGGAGTTTTAGGAGGCTTGAGCAGTTCCTTTCTACCTGGTACTCAAGCATTCTGTTCCTTGCCCATGGCCAGCCCTCCTGGGCACAGTGCAGGGACCCATCTCCCTCCACCAGCAGAACAAGACCCAGGCCTGATGTCTTCACTCAAGCAAGCTCAGGTTGGCCAGAGTTAAATGCATCATTGGCCAAATGTCCCAGTAAAGAACCTGGTACATCACCCCACACTTCCCCAAAAGTCTTTGTCCCATCAGTACTGTCACAGGTTGAGGGAAGAAGAAAAAAACCTGATCCCACAGCTTCTGATTACCCACAAACCTGCCAGCGCTCACAAAACTGAACGTTAGGAGAGGAAAAGGGAAGGGAAATGATGGAGCAGAAAATACAGCAGTACATTTTCCAGTGTATCAAAGCAGGAAAGATTTGGGGAATGGGAGAGAGGAGAAAGGGTAGGGATCTCAGTATGCAAATTAAGAGTGAATGACAAGCATAAAGTCTGCTGACTTTCTGGTAAGGTGTTCGTGTTCCCACCAGGACAAACAGGAGACAAAATCCCAAGACAAAAGAGTAGTTGGTGAGCATGGTGATCTGGGGAGAGACTTCTGGCCATGCTACTTAGGAGCTCAGGCTTACTGCTGCCCAGGGAACACCAAAAATACAACCTCAGGGTGTGTCCAGCTCGTCATCACCCTGGGCGCCTTCCCACCCTGCACCAGCAGTGAAAATTGAGCTGTTAAATGTAGCTGACAGCTCATTCTGTTTGGGGAATTGCCCCGTGAATGACTGACTCACCTCCCTTCCAAAAAATTGAGGTAGGAAATGGGTGGGGGAAAGGCTTAGAAAATTGTTTCATGATGGTTGCTTAAATTGCCTCTGCATTACAACTTTACAGTTAGGGAAAAAGAGAGATTTACCACATAAAGCCACGTCCTAAAGCCAGCTGTGGCAGAGGTATGGACATTGGAAAGAAGCAGAGCAAATGAAGTCATCCAGCAGTGAAAAAAACCATCAATATAATATAATGCAGAACAAAGCAAATTCTACCTCAAAAACAGAGCTGAAAGAAAAACATCTTCCTCTGTCAGATCTATTACCATGCATTTATTCCAATAACAGATAACTAACCCAGAGAGTAACCCAAACCTGATTGATTCTTCCATCTAAGTAAATATGAAGAGGCAGCTGAATCTGACTGTAAAAACCACTGATCTTGTAGGTTTTCCTTGTATGTATTGAAAAAAAAATAGGAGTGGAGTTTCTGCTTTGCTGCCGGGGGATGCTGGCAAAGCATTTGAGCTATAGATATTGTATCTTGTCACTAATGACTGTAGGGAACTAAAAGGGATTTGGGTTTTTTAATGCTTCACATTAATTGATAATTTGGTCTCAGAATCCACAGTGGAACACAGGATTTGCTATATTGGATCAGTCTAGTGGCCCATAAAATCTGGCGTCTTGCCTCAGTGATGCTCAGAGAAATTATCATCCAGTGTCTTCGCTTATAAGGTTGCTGGCCATTTTCTGTAAGTCCATACCATTGAAACAGAGGAAAGGTCTTTCTGGCCTGCACAGGATCATCTTTAAAACTCTGAAACATGGTTTTGGCAGGGCTGTATTACTACTTTTATTATTATTATTATTATTATTTTACTTTTTTTTTTTTTTTAATTCAAGGAAGAAACTCTGTAACTACAAACATTTTCAACAGACATGCTGCCATTTTTCCTCTTGGTCACCACAGCCCAAATAACGAGAAGGTGAGTTTGCGTTTTCAGAGGGCAAAGGAGAACACGACTGAGGCCAGAAGTGGGGAGATGCCTCATACTGAGCAGAACAATATTGATTAGGCAGTGTAAAGATTTCCCTCACTAATTCCTTTAGCAATCTTATCATCTGTTGCCTGCATAATTGGATGGGGAACAGAGAGGTGGAATCACTTAAGCGTTCAAAGCTCAACACACACTGAGAAAAGATTCCTAGTTTTTGCTTGTGTGCAATTTTGTGCATCGTTGCCCCTTGATTGTACATTGAACATGCTCTCTTTGACAGCCTAGCCCTAAACAGCCTGTTTATTAAAGACAGCTGCTTGCAAATAGGGGCTTTCTCCATCCAGCTGGCGTGGAGAAGGAGCTTGCTGTGGCTGTGAGAGGCAGGACTATGAAACAGGAGGGGATCGGGAGGGGAAGGCCTGTGGAAACTCTGACCATGCAGGAATTAGGAAGAAAAAAGAAAGACGATGGTTTGTTTCCATGCAAACATCTTAATTAAGAAGGATGATGAAGATATTTACATCTTAATTTTTCTGATGTCTTCAGTTTGTCTTGAAGCAAGGTATAGTTTATCTACCCTCCCACTAAACCGGTTTATAACTTCTTTGCTTCCAGTTCTTTTGCTGATCATATTGAGGTTTGGGGATGCTCCCCACCATCTCTGGCCAATGTGTGATCTCATGGTTGTCTCCATGGTAAAGGAACTGAACTAAATCTCTGTCTTCCTGGGGATGGTATCACTATACCTCTCCTGGGTTCAGCATTTGACAGGTTAGTCCCAGTACTCTCCCCAGCTCCCAGTAAAGCAGAGATCAGCCTGGACAGCTTTTAAAAGCAGCCAAAGTCCAGTTATGTGGGACCCTCGCCTCAGTCGGAGATTTATAGGGGAGAGTATGGAAACAGGAGAGTCCACAGCGTAAGTGCCACAGTATCTTCCAGTCCTTGATAACCAGTGGCACGGAGATTTCCTGAAATGGGAGGTATTTTGTGTCTGATAACCCCTGATAGATTACTTTGCTTTTACAATTCTGTTCAATTCCTTTTTCAACCTACCTCAGCTATTGGCACCTACCATCTCCTGAGACAAGGAGTCCCACCACTTTACTACCCCCTGTAACATCTCCATTGGAGCTGAACCTGCCATGTGCATCACCAGGTGTTTTAGGTGAGGAAATACTGAACAAGCAACAATTCCTCCCTATTTGGTTACATTTATGACCTCCACAAATGGAGGCTCAGGAGTTAAAAACCACCAGGAATCTAAATTGAAAGGCTTTGAACTCCCAGCTCTCTGGAGCTCAGTCCAACAGTTGGGAAAAAGCAAAAGTCTCAATTCAAATGTCTGGGAATGGGGCTGAGCTTTGATTGAAAGACCATAAGTTTGATTAGCTCTCAGTAAGTGGATTTGGGTGGGTTGGGAACACAGACGGCTTAGGCACGGAGGTCAGTGTTTGGGTGAATATTTAGACTATATTAAACAAAAAATCTGAGCCAAATGACTTGCAATGCAGCAGCAATATATCCCCAGCAGGAGAAGAGATGAGTGTGGAGGTCAAGTACCATAGCAGGGAGTTTTTATTTCCCAAAACCAAACTGCTCTTTTGTGCCTGTGCTTCAAAGAAGATGTCACCAGATTGTGAGAGCTCTTCACCTGCCACATCCCTCTCATTACTGAAATGAAATAAATGGCAACAGCATGAAAACAGCAAGCTCAAGCAGGAGAAAGACAGGTAGACAGTGAGGAAAACGGGAGGGAGGGAACAGGGTGCGAGTGGAGGTCTTGGCAGGGTGGAGAATTAGGGCAATTACCATTTCTGAGAAAATGCCAGAAATACAACACAACCTAATTTCCCCAATTAATTCATCTGCACTTGAGCTGTTTTGTGTGAAGGGCTCTTAATATTTCAAACAGGAGGAACGGGGGAAAAAAAAAAGACTCAACATCTCAACATTTGTTTTTCCTTCAGTGTAGAAATGGGGAAGTGTTGAGAAAAAATGTCTGGCTAAAACACAAGATGATGCTGTTACATCTTCCTTTCAGGAGATAAGGAACTGTGCCGCAAATTCAATTTGCAGAGGTTTTTATAGGAGCCACAGAGATCTCAAAGACCAGCACATTCAACATCACACTGACTTTTCCTGCACACAGAACACACCAGGACAGGCAAAGAGACACTTAACCCATGCACTCACATTGAGCAGTTCCCTCACCTCCCCTGTTTCCAGCCCTATTGCAAGTTAGGGGAAAATTTGTCCTCTTTTGCCCCAAAATCACCAGTCAGAGCAGTTGTGAGGCACCATGCCATGAGCTGCCCACAAGTCATGGGGCATAGAGGTGTCACCTAGAGGGAACAATGGCAATGAAAACAAGGAAAGAAACAGCAAATCAGGAGTTGGGGTGGTGGGACATGGGGTAAACAGATGCTGAGAAGAGTATGTAATACTTTCAAGAGCAGCCACGGGCTCCTGCACATAGCAAGATCATGGCTCTGCCTGGCTGGCCCATCTCTATCAGTACTAGGGGTCTCCAGGTCACATGTCCAGGTCACTATCAGGCCCTTACTTATGTAGGGTAGGACAACGCAAGACATGGTCTCCAGGAACTCACTTAGTACAGGAAAAAATTAAAGTACTTTTCACTTCCAAGTCCTTCTTTTAGTGGAACATATATTTATAGATATGAAACCTTCCCAACACCCAAGCAGAAATGGAGATGGAGAGAGAGTAGCACATTGTATTTTCCACCTCAGAGAAGGGGTAGAAGAGGCAAAGGGTGATGCTTAACTGCTTAGCATCTGCAAAGCACTCAGGTGCTGGAAATGGTACTGATATTGGAAACTGAATGTGGCACACACAT